AACAACAATGCAGATGATACAACCTTGCTTGCTGAAACTATGGAGAACCTGAAGTGCTTGCTGCATAAAGTCAAGGGCTCTGGTCTTCAATATAGATTGGAGCTCAACACCAAGAACAAAGATTCTCACCAGTGGACCAATTGGCAGCACCATGATGGATGGAGAAGAAACTGAGGTGGTAAAGAATTTACCGCTTGTTGGGCTCCACAATAAACCCTCTTGGCACCAGGAGTCAGGAACTCAAAAGAAAAGACAAAGTGCTCTGGGAAAAGTCTGCTGTCAGGGACCGCTCCGTAGTACTGAGAAGTAACAGTGTCAGACTAGAGACTAAAGCGTGTCTGGTCTTTGCAATAACTTTCTATGTATCAGAAGGCTCGACAGTGACAAAGGATGACAGAAGAATCTATGCCATTGCGTTGTGTTGGAGAAGAGTCTTGAACCATGGACCAACCACAAACAGATCTGTCTTGGAGAGGGTGAACCAAAGTTTCTCATTAAAGGCAAGGATTTTGAGGCGCTTACTTACATTCTTTGGGGCATATGGCCAGGAGGAGCCAGTCCTTGGAGAAGGACATAATGACTGGAAGGGGGGAGGGACAGCACTGGTGAGAAAGACTCCAGGTGAGATGCATTGACAAAGTAACTGGAGTAATGAGGATAGGTGCATCAAAGTCAGTGAGACTGGCTCAGGATAGGGCAGAGTTCAGAGCTGTTGTTATGTCAGCGTTGACTCAACAACACACAATGACAACAACAACAACAACAATGTATACTTTGCCCCTAGAATATCCTTTAATATTGCAACTCAAGTCTCAAAATTTTTTCTTAAGTTTTCTCAGATTGAGAAATGTCTAACAAGTCCTTACATTTTAGTTTTCTAACTCCAAGTCTTTGCATAAAATAAAATATTATACCATGAATATAATTTCTATTATAATATAATAAAGAATAGAATAGAATAGGAGTAGAGTAGAATAGAATCGAATTGAGAATCCAGAGATCAACCCATCTACCTATGGTCAACTGATTTTTGACAAGGAGATGAAATCAGTGAAGTGGGGAAA